GTACATGCAATAACACAGCTAAGTCAAGTCTCCACATCTATGCCACTCAAATATTTCCCTAATGACTGAAGCAAGAGGAAAGGGATTGAAATGCAAGTGTCCTGACCACACTCACTCACATGATAGCAAGGGATGTTCAGAGGTGGGAAAGGGTCTCTGCTGAGCAGTCTCTTTTTCTTGGAGGGCAAGAAATCTGGTGTTAGCAGAAGGAGGAGCTGTGTATGGCTCTTCCTGTCCCTTCTAGGAAAGCAGGGCCCATAGGCCTACCTATAGTCATATCACCACCAAAGCCACCATTGCTGGCTTGGAGGGGCCTACAGACTGAACATGTGTGTGCATTCACATTCTTGGGTGCTGTAAGCATGCACAGCCACAGAGGAGAGCCTACCCCTCCCTATCTCATCACTGGTCTCCAGAAAGGGAGAATGCTCCCAGGTCATGACAGGCCTTTCAAGCCCCACAACTCCTGTCGAACATGCTGGTGAAAGCTAAGTATGAGCCAGGGGCCTGCCCAACAGCATGGGTCCACCCCCAGTACCATCAGGGCATGACAAGAGGCAGAAGGTCTGAGTACAGGTGCTATCTCTCTGCCCCCATCCTACAAATGCCCTACATTGATCCTCCCTGGGCCTCAATTTCTCCCTCTGCCAAGGGGGAATAACACACACACACACACACACACACACACACACACACACCACTCCTCATGCCTCCCAACTAAAGACAGTCTTATCCTAGGCACTTGTACCTGGCTACCATTAGTTACGCACCCATCTTATATGACATGTGGGGACTGCTGAGAGCCAGTGTCCAGTTAATACAAACGGAACGAGGAGAAAAGGAAGCGAAGAAAGGAAGAGAGGAAGCTGAGAGGAAGTTCTCCATTTCCTCACTCCGGAGTATTTTTTTTTTCAGGGGGAAAGATTTTTTAAAATTACACCAAAACATATTAGGTACTTTAGAAAATCGCCTTTCTTGCGTTACTCATGGGCAAGTGCTCAGAATGCAGTGGCACCTCAGGAGGAGGAATCTCCAAGTCAGCTAGGCCAGATATCTTTTTGCTCCCCAGTCACACTCAGATGGGCCTGAGGTCAGCAGCTCACTCTTGCTCCATTTCAACCCTTCCTTCTCAAAATGCTTCCTTCATTCCTCAAAAAGCTCTGGGGCTGGACCTCTTCTACAGGAGCAGGGGGGGAGGGGGTGAAGGGGGGTGGTGGCATTCCGCTTGGCAGAGGGAAAATCAACGTAGGACCTCTGTAAGCCATGAACTTCAGAAACAAACTACTGGTATCAGGATAAGAAGGTGAGTAAAAAGGGTAGGGAGAGGTAAAGAAAAGGATTCTTGTCTGTCACCTTCTACTGGAAAGCCAGGGGAGTGGACTGGCTTTTATTCTGTGTTTAGTATCAACCTAAACATGCTTTGAAGCACTCTACTGGTATTAAATACCAACTCCATGACTGTTTATGACTCATAGTCATGGGAGAAAGGAAAGGGGACATGGGGACACAGGGCAGAAAACTTGGTTTCCCCCAGTCATCAACACCTCAGATTAAGTCTAGGGCTTGAGGCTTTATGCTTCATATTTTAAGTGCCTAAATGTGCAAGCAAAGAAGGGAGAAAGGCTCCAGTATCAAACATGAATATGTCTGGCAGTTTATTTGAAACAAATGAAAGAGACTGAGAGTTTAAAAAAAAAAAAAAAGATGGGCTAGATCTTCTCATTGTTTAGATTCTGTGGGACAACAGAAGGGGAAGCAAGCGAGTGAGAAGTTGCCAGGTGACCATCAGTACCTGGGCAGAGAGAGTGCATCTTACCACACGTTGGCTGGTTGACTGATGGGATGAGATGCAACTGTCAAGCTTCATCAGTGGACACACACCCCTTCCTTGCACAAACCCCCCAACAACAGTCCTCCTGAGAGGGCAGCTGCTGCCACGTCCTCTCATGTTCTCCCTGAGGGGTTCAGGGTCCTATCACAGAATGGCGCTGACAAGCACACTCAACAGGGGAGAGGGTAGGAAGCAGCCATCGAGAGCAAGAACCTACAAGGAGAAAAGGTGAGGCCACAAGGATTCAGACTGAGTCCCCACCTGGGAGAGACACAAATAAGCAGTGTGACTCTGAGGGGCCAGAAGCAGCCAGGGCAAGGGCCGAAGTTTGGGGCATGAAGTTACACTAAACAGATGCTACAGCTAACAGGAAATTATTCTGGTTTGCAGAGAGTATAGTTTTTCTAGCTTTTCTGAGCACTCATACAGAAGTAGTCCCTAACTTAGGATATATTCGAGTTACAACAAACCACACTTAGGACTGTTTATTTTTTATGATTTGTGTATTTTTTTATATATGTAAGTATACATTACTATGTATCTGTAAGTTTATATGTAATGTTCCCAACTCCCCAAAACAAATAAAGGTAGATTTTATAAGAATATTGCTAATAAATGGCAGCAATAGGAAAGCTCACTTGCTCCGTAAACTTTCACCCAAACCATAGCAAAAAATATTTAAATGTGAAAAGAAGCAATAAAGAAGTCCCAACTGAACCCCATGGAGGAAAAAAAAAAGGAAGCTCTTAAAAAAAGAAAGGCATCAATACATTTTAAAAAAGAGATATTCAATACACATGAGCAATGAGAGTCGTAAGCACCTTTACATTATTTCAGGTCATCTTCACAATAATGTCCTCTGAGCTTACACTGACCTATACTTAACAGAGGAGGAATAGAGGGGACTGGCTGACCCGAGGCCAGCTGCTGGCTGGTAGCAAAGCAGAAACTAGTCTTCAAGGCTGTTCCAAAGAATGTACCTCTCCAAATTGAGAAAATGCAAAGTTCGAATTCAGGAGAATACAGAGAAGAACTAGACCTAATAACAACAGGGAAAGATCATTTTCCCAATGTATTCTTTGGGTAAGAGAAAAAGGGCAGAGGTAGCACCAGCCTATACCCTGGATCACATGGTATAAAGACAGAATCCCCAAAGCAAACCTTTTCAAAAGACCCCAAGACACCATATGTGGGATCCGGGAAATGAGCATCTTCAATGCTTTGGGCCAGAGCTAAATATCCAGCCACCAGCCAATAAAAGAATCATCCCGGGGTCCAGAAAATAACACCGACGGGACAAGAAAACCCTGAAGCAGAATGTGGAGGGAAAAAAAAAAGCCACACACACAAGACCCAGGTCTTCACCAAAGATACGGCATATCTAGGGAGGGCTCAGGAGAGCTGGCCGCACAAATGACTAATAAGTCTTAACTGCAAGCCAAAGTCAGAGTCGTATTTTAAAAGCAAAGTCCTTCCCCCAAAGCCAATTTCTAAGTCTTGAAGCGGGTGGAGATGACCCAAAGTGCTTCCTCACACTGAGGGCAGATGTGGTCCTCATCCTCTTATCAACTCCATCTTCAACAGGTTTCTGTGTTCTTCCTGTTACGGAGGAGGCCTTATGGCACAAGGGCTAAGCACTCACCTGCAAACTAAATATTGGCAGTTCTAACCCACCTAGCAGTTCCAACTCCCCCTCAGCGGCTCCTCAGGAGAAAGGCCTGGCGACCTGCCACCTAGAAAACTGAGGCAGGCACTCATCAGAAGGGGGGTCTCTATGAGTGGAAATCGCAGTCCAGAAGAGGTAGACGGAATGGAGGATCATCGGGGGGAGAGCCTGCCTGTGCTTGCTGATCTACGTGCAGGAGACACACGGACCATCTCCACTCTTGAAGATCTCCCCCTACCACCTATTCCCTGCCCTGCTACCCTCCTGAAGCCAGCAGAAGTACACAGGTAACCACTGAGACAAAGTCACCAGCATACCCATCACCTCCCACGGATTGCCTCGTCCCCCTTCAATCCTTACACATATCTAACCTACAGACTCCCAAGCCTGGCTAATTGGCTTTAAAAAGGGCAGCATGAGGAAGCAGCTGAGGAGGAGACAAAGCTCGATGGCTCCATTTTCCACCCTCGGCTCCCACACACTTAGGCCTCTCCACTCCCTTCTGGTCTCTCCTTCTCTCCTTCCTAGGATTGCGAAAATGATTTGTTCTGAACAGCGACAGGTTTATAGGTTAGCCGACACCTCCGCTCTGTGGAATTTTAATTAACTTCTCCCCTCGTCAATATGCTAAGGAATGGGGGCTCCATTCTCTGGGGTCAGCAATGTGTTTCAGGTCCTGCTATATCAGCCGTCAAATTGAAGAATTAATGACGTGGCTAATCGGCTCTAATTCTTTAGGAAGAAAAAAATGTGAGCAGGAGTTGTGGAAGGGAGCAGGAGGAGGGATGCAGGCTCCATGGGGTGAGGAAAAGGATGCTGAAGGAGGCTAAGCAAAGGAGGATCGACTCTCTCATAAAACAAGTGACTGACTTAGACCCCGTGTTGGAGGGTGGCCACCCTACAGCTTTCCCGTTTATCACTGGGGTGGCGTGGGAAGACACAAGGGGAGACTCTAGGCACATACTGGGACCCAACAGCTGCAGGACAATGAGTGACTGTACCCTGCAGTGGGGGAAGAGAGGCTCTATTTGGGCTCAAGAGAGCCTAGAAAGCTGAAGGCTGGATATAAACCTCACCTGCTCATAGGTAAAGCTAGAGAAACACCATCATTTTTAAAATGTGGCCCTGGGGTTATAATTATCGATGACTACTTGGACACTTTCTAAGGGGAACAAACCAGAGATGTGGGTTGCAAAACAGGTTGGCCAGTGATGCCAATGCCATCTCCCAGAGATGCTTGGAGGGCATCTGGTCCAGACGGGACACCTCTGGTAACAGCTGGACACTTGGTTGCATTCTAACAAGTCTCTCTTCCTCCCCAGATGTGGGGCATGAGCCCCGGGAAGGTTATATTAACTACATGTGTCCTTGAAGTGTGTATCTTGAGAGTGGCCCCAAACAACCTAGAATATATACCTGGGAGATTTGCTAGCCTACCTGACCTTGTAAAATAAGAATATTCGTTATAGGGGACAAAACCATATCCAAACATGTCTCCCTTACCTGAGCAGTGGACTGATAGCAATCGACCAGACTCGGTCTTCAGTTTGGATGGTGTGTAAGCACTGCCCCAGGCGGCCCGAGGCCAAAGGCCACACCTAAAAACAGGAGACAGAGCTCTCAATTGGCATTGCCTGAGATGTGGGTGGGGAGGAACGTGCCCAGTGAGCCTGGAATGGAGAATCCCTTCTGTTGTGTACAAACACAGCTCAGGGTATCAGCGGAGGGAGCTCTCTAGTGAGATCCTAGTGCTCAGTCCACACTGTCCTTTTTTGCCTCCACCCAGTAGTCATTACTTAACAGTCAATGTTACACCAAGCACTGGGAAGTTGCACATTCCTCAGTGGAGACCTGAGAAGAAAGAGCTGGAGGGGCATGCTGCTCTCAGAACCCTCTCACGTGGGTGGCTTTTCCTTTGCCTATCTCTCACCACCACTGATTCTTCAGCCGGCAGGTGGGGAGAGCAAGAAGATCAAGGCACAGGAGCAGACACAGAGAGAATTAGAGAGAGGAGTAAGAATGAAAGATAGAAGAGAAGGGAAGAATGGAAGAAGAGGGACTTCAAAGAAGGAAGGTGGTATATTGTTGTTTGTTTGTTGATAATGCGCAGGATCCAATGCTATTCATGTCAGCAGGGAATTTAGCACCTAGTGTCACCAAAAGCAGCAGAAAAGCTTAACCCTTTTAAGCTTCCATATCTCCTACAGGTTAAAAATATTGCTTGGAGCACATTATCTGGTCCCTATCAGTCAGGAATGTACATTAGCAGCCACTCTGGGCTTAACTCTAATCAACACTCATAGAGCCCTCTCAGCAGTCAGTGCATTTAGAGAGCTCCCATTAAGCACCAGGCTCCCCCCTCACCTCACCCTACCCCAGATGACACACATGGGGAACTAAGCCTCTAACCAAACAGAAAGGAAACCTTCAATGAGCAGGGCTGTCCCCAGACAACAGCCAAGGAGCGATCCTGAGGTGGCCAAATGGATCAATGACCTCTCAAGGTCCCTGCAGTGCTATAAGGGGAACACGCAGAACTCAGCCAGGACCTTAGATGGAAGAACACTAAGGAAACATTCCTTGGGTTTAAGGGGAAGGTGAGGGAGTAGGGGGTGGATCTGCCTTCTAAGGGTCACATGATATCTCTTCCCTATAAAAGGAGAAAGTGTTACTTCGAGTTTGTGTATGTGTGAACAAGGGGGGCAGAGTTGAGTAAGTTACTTTTCCTAAAACAAGGAAAAGAAAATAAATTTAACAACCAGATGCTGAACAAGGACGGACAAAAAACAAAAGTAAATACCACAACTTTCCTGGAGTGCCATGTCTCTGGCTTCCTCTCTTGGATCTACATCTCTTTGGCAGTAACTAGATGGACTTCGAATGTCCTCTTTCAGACAGCTCCAGCTTGGAAAAGACTTTGGCCTTCTCCTTGATGCAAACCACCTGGGAAGGCAGGTTCTTTAGAAACAGAATTTGCTTGGCTGGTAGATTCTGACAAGTAAAGATTCTGACAACAAAGGCTGGGGACAGGCTAGGCAAATCACAGAAGGAGTTTCCTAGTCTCCAGGAAAGACAGAAAGCATGCTGCCAAATTTGGACATGATCTTGGGAAAGTGGCTTTCCTGGCCTCTTCCGAGGCACACTACCCAACTGATGCCCAAGGGGCAGGAGGTGACAATAATAATGTTGCTCTTATCGTCATACTCAATGGCTAACTCCAACACAAACCTACCCCTGAAAGACATGTCTCTAGGAGTGGACATTTATACAGCCCCTTAAGGAGATGTGTGGTAATATATCAAGACTTAAAATGACCATAGTGGGGTTTTTTTGATGACCATAGTTTTTGACTAGGCAATTCTATTGTTCAGAATCTAGCCTAAGAAAATAATCCTAACACACAGAAAAATCCAAAAGCTAAAAATATTCTATGTAATTTACTATTGCAGAACGAGCACACACAGACTTGGAATCAGACAGATCTGAGCATCAACCCTCATGGTTACTTACTAACTTTGATTTTACGGTGTTTCACAACCTCTTAGCTCAGTACCCCATTTGTAAACTGAGAAATAAGGCCTAGTTTGCAGGATTTAAGTGTGGAAAAGTGAGGAGAATTTGGCAGGTATTAAGCACTCAATAATAGTGATTATTATTACTAAAGGGAAAAAATGGGACACAAGCATCTAGGAATAGAGTGAGTAAATTACAGTAAATCCATTATAAAGTTATTCATTGTGTTACTTGTTGTTGTTGCTGTTAGGCATTGTAGATAGACACAAATCGACAGTATGGACTCTTCTAGCACTGAGGGTCTTCCTCTTTCTTCACTGATCCTATACTTTACCAACCATGATGTCTTTCTCTAAGGACTGGTCTCCACTGACAATGTGTCCAAAGCATGTGAGACAAAGTCTCATCAACCTCACTTTTCAGGAGCATTCTTCAGGCTGCACTTCTTCCCAGACAGGTTTGTTTGTTCTAGCAGTCCACGGTACAGCTAATGTTTTCACCAACAGAATATTCAAAGGCATCAATTCTTTGGTCTTCCTTATTCATTGTCCATCTTTAACGTGCTTATATGACAACTGAAAATCTCTTAGCTTTGATTAGTAACACTTTAGTTCTCAAAGTGCTAGTTCGGCTCTTTAACACTTTAGAGAGGTCATTTGCAGATTGTCCCGGTGCAGTATGTCATTTGATTTTTGACTGCTGCTTTCACGGGTGCTGACTGTGGAGTCAAGTAAAATGAAATCTTTGACAACTTCACATTCTATTTTTCATGATGTTGCTTATTGGTCTAGTTGTGAGGACTTTTGTTTTCCTTATGTTAAAGTGTAATCCATACTGTAGTTTTTTATTTTCACCAGTAAGTGCTTCAAGTTCTCTTCATTTTCAGCCAAATAAGGTTGTGTCATAAGAATATTGCAGGGAAAAAGAAAAAAAAGAATATTTCAGGAAGAAAAAAAAAAAGAATATTGCAGGTTGCTAATGAGTCTTCCTCCAAATCTGAAGCTGCATTCTTCTGCATATAGTCGAGCTTCTCAAATTATCTGCTCAGCAGTTTGAGCATTCCATCTGGTGAGGTCCAAGAATATAGTTATTGTTTATGTTGTTGAAAAAGGTATTTGTAAATGAATAAGTTATTGGGCATGCAAAAGTCTATCATGTGAGATGAGCACCATTTCTGTCGCCAAGACCATATTTCCAACAACTGATCTTCTTTATCTCCAACTTCTGCATTCCAGTCACCAGTGGCTATTAGTGCACCTTGACTGTGTGTTTTATCAATTTCAGACTGCAGATATTGGTAAAAATTTTCAATTGCTTCATCTTTGGCATTAGTCTTTGGTGCTTACGGATGCTATTTACAAATCATTTGTAATAATAATGGAGACCCTTTTAAAATAAACTTGAGACAGTTGGGTGTATTGAGTATTAAAAAACATAGTAGGAGCACAATTATATAGGGGAGAAATTTACCCTAGAGGCTAAAATGAGAAAACGAATAAATATAAAGTTCTTAGCACAATGCCTGGTAACTTTCTATGTTGTTACAAAGCTAATCTATCCATTGAAAAATTACTGAAGAAGGCAAAATCACCAGCTCAAATGCTCCTTCCTCCATCAAGTCAAATGTCAAGATAAATATGATCTCTCCACCCTCTAAACTCTTTGGCCGTTGCCCCAGAGCCTTGTACTTCATAGTCTAAACCAATTCTGATCAGCTTTTTAACCAAGTACACCCATTTCAACTCCCTTTAAGGACAGAGGAGATCACTCCTCTTGGAGGAGGCACTTGTAAAGAATGAAGGAACAAACAGACACATGAAGGAAGGGATAAAGGAACTGTCAGAACCAGTTCAGGCCCATCAAGAATGTAAGCCTTCATCTTTACAACTCGAAATGAGGCTAGCCCCACAGAAGCTCAGGCCAGACAATCCAGCTCCGTCACAAAAAGTCTGAAACCAGGGTTGGAGGGGGCAGGGAAACAGGCTCCCTGGGGAGTCCCTCATTCAGACATTCTACAGACTTTTTGGTTCCCTTCACCCAGGTAAAACAAATCCTTCTTTCCTCGTACATAAACTCCTCCTCCCCATACCGTCCCCAAAAGGGATACAGATGTTTACGGTCAATATGGCTGTACGTTCTCAAGAAGATGCATGTACTTTAAAAGGCTGTGGAAGCTGAGATAGAAGTGCAGATTCCACTCAAAAGAAGTGGAGAGCTGAGTCTAAAAGACTAATTGCAGGCAATGAACAAATAGGCCAGAATGATGTCTTGGCTGGATGCGCAGACAAGAACAGAAAGGAAGGAACCAAGCAGCATCAGAAAGCAGAGAAGATGAGCTGGCCTGGGCACCCCCAACACGACAGGCAGCTGTCAGAAACTGAAGAGCACCTGAGAGGAGAGTTCCATCACTGGCCTACAAGAAACCCTCAAACGGTAAAAGGTGGACTGCGGAGGCAGACTCTTAGGACGAGGAAGTGCCTGTTTTCAGGCTTGAAAACTTCTAAGCCACTAAGCAGGTCTAAGAAAACTTTGTAAACATGAAACTAACCCATATACCAAACAAAATGGAGGTTACACTGTGACTGTAAGCAGTGCATATCCCTGAGCTGCTACCTGTGGTCATAAAGCTTAGTTTTATGCTGCTCTTGGTATCAGACTACAGAAAACGAGACAGAAGAGAGAGATATCATGAAGAGATGCCAGCAGAGATAGGAATATTCAGGTTGCACCTGCCACCAAAAGTTTCTGTGCAAACCAACTGCTGAGCAGTACTGGAAGTTGAGGTAGGTAACTTTGCAAGGAATGCGACCCACAAAAAACAAAAAACCAAACACTGCCATCAAGTTAATGCCAATGTATAGTGACCCGATGGGACAGGGTAGAATTGCCCCTTTGGGTTTCCAAGACTGTAACTCTTTATGGGAATAAAAAGTCCCGTTTTTCTCCCGTGACCACTAAGAACCCTGACATAAGAATGGAGGATGGGACGCTGGTGGCTGGGAATCCCTTCCCATGCTGGTTCAATAGATCTGCTGACTTCTCATCAGGCCCCTGTGCTGATGTGCATGTCTCTGACGGAATACAAAGTATAAGGAAGAAAATATAAGAGGAGAAACTCCGCTAACTATAAAGGAGCAAAACCTAGCTCTTCTTTGTAAATAAATTAGTAACATTTCTACATGAAGAATACCACCAGAAGTACCAGGAGCCAGAAAAGTTACTAAGTAAAGTCTGCTACTTTCAACTCTCCCTAGTCCTCTGCAGTGTAACTGTCTTACTTGCTGACACCAACAAGCATTTTGCTTCTGTTAGCACTCTAGAGCCTCCAGATGCCAGCAAATAGGCAAGTAAGCCACCACTGGGCCTCCTGCACCATCACCTGAATTGTCAGCAAAGTTCTCACAGCAGCCCCAAAGGGCCAGGCAGTCAAAGGCCCTGGCTAGGGCTGCTGGACACAGGGATGTAGAAAATGTCTTCTGTGTCTCCTGGGTGGGCGCCTGCTTGACCCAGACGTGAATGAACCAAGTCCATAATAGCAAGGGTCCCGCTACTTATCAGCCTCAGTCTTTGGTCCTTTGACAGATGTCTGACTGTAGACAAGGCAATTTGGCAATGACACAGCAAACAACACCCTTCCCCAGTTGTCTGTCTACTGCTTACTGACCACATCAGCCTCTAGAGAGGCAGTATAAACACATTTTAATTATCAGCCTGATTGCTCATAAACAAGGTGGTGAAAAATTAACCTCCCTCAACAGAGGGCAAAGCAAGAGGAGGGAGATTTTAAAACAAAATTCGAGGTCGAGACTCAACCCACAAACTTGAGGAAACTCAGCTCTGGGAGGAAAAGCTGGCCAAGCTCTGTTTTTGCATTCACGCCACATTTCAAGTGAGTGGCAAGCTTCCCAACCACTGTCCACTCCTTTCTCAGTCCAGCTGGCAGGGACACAGCCTGGCATGGCAAGCTGCATGCCAGAGGCACATAAGTGAGCCCTTTATTGTGTTGGCTTTCCTCCTGCCCCCACCCAATGCTTTCAGCCAATCCTGGGACTCACGGCCCTATCCACCCTCTCCCACCATCCTCCCTATAGACAGGAGGGAAAAACTGTGTAAGGGGAAGACCACCTCACCTTGGCTGTCCTGTCCCTGGAGCCGCTCACAATGATGCCCCCTTTGCAGTCCACACAGTTCACCTCCTGTTCATGAGCCGAGTACTTGACAGTGAAGGTGCTGTGAATCTTATGAACGCCAATCTTCCCATCTCTGGGTGAGAAATAAGAAGCCCATCCCCAATAGCCAATTATTCTCTCTGTAGAAAAAGAATAGGTCTACAGAAACAGCCCGAAGCCCTAATGATGTCCAAATTTGCTAAGGCTTATGCAGTTCCAGCCCAATAAGGGGCTGAGCTTCTAGATACCTTTACTTCTTTGTACACTGGGGGCTGAACAAAGCTGAGAGATGAAATAAATTGATCCTGTCTAGAGTATTCAAATTAGCTTGTCTTTTCATTAAAGGGCTTTTTTCCTGTTTCCTTCGCCAGCTGACCCAATCAGCTGCCTTCAGTTAAATACCTTGGCTTTGAATGGAAACAAAAAAGCTACCACCTCTTCTTCCCCTTGGAGTTGAGACAAAAAAGTCAGAAGCAGGCAGAAGGTCCCTGGAGAGCACCGTAGAAGGGAAGAAGGGAGTAGCAGAAGAACCTGCTGCACTCACCCTCCGGCACTGATAATGTGCGAGTTGGCCAGCACGAAGTGGCAAACATCCTCATCATGCCCGGCGAAGACTCCCAGGGGCCGGCGATTCAAGCTGGCACCATCTGGGCGGAACTGGTAGGCCAAGATGAAATTAGCCTGGGAGATGTACAGAGAATCACCCTCTAGCTGCATCCAGGGCATCTGACTGCAGAGAGAGAAAACAAAAGATAAAAGTCGAGATGCTGCATGAAAATTCAGATCTTTGGAGAAGTTCACTGATCCCAACCTCTCAAGGACAACTTGCATGGGTAAGTAACAGTCTATATACCTCACTCCTCTCCTTTAAAATTGCCTTCCCCTAGACCACGCTCAGAAAATGAGAGTGATCAAGCTAGATGATCCAATCTTCTTTGGACTTTCTAAAAAGGAATCAGAGAAGCCCAGGAGGCGCTGGCAGACAAGCAGCAGACTGGTTTAAATCCACCAGCTGCTCCCTGGGGAAAAGATGAGGCTCTCTGCTCCTGTAAACATTTATAGCCTTGGAAACCCTCTATTGAGTTGCTATGAGTCAGAATTGACTCATTGACAGTGAGTTTGGACTTAACTGGAGAATGCTGAAGATTTCAATTACCAGTGACCTAGACTTGTGCTAAGGAAGGAGAATTTGGAAAATTCCATGACAAGGAGTGAGGAGGGTCACAAAGAATCCTCCCAGCCAGGTGAAATAATTGTTTCTTTCTACATGCTCACTGATTTCAAGTGTAAAGTAGTGAGCTTCAAGATTTCAAGCCTCCATGCATGCTTCTCTGCTCAGTGAGGGTGTGATGAGGAAGAGAGCCCTGAGCGAGCCCTGGAGACGCTCCATTCCCTTGTCTGACTAGAGCAAAGGGGCCATTTATATGTGGAAGGAATAAAGCCATTTAGGAAAGGATGCTAATGTACTGATTAGATACCTAGATCCTCACAGGGGATATCTACATCTCTGGATTTGAGGGTAAGTGTGGCAATGGAAAAACACAGCTCCAGAGAAGTCTGCTACAGTTCAGGGGCTACAAAGAAATAGTCAGCTCTCGCAAGCAGCTGATAAGAAAAATCTACAAATAGTTAAACATTCCTGCGACAATTTGACAGGAGAAAGCAGCATTAGAAGGCTCAGGCCAGCTCCTCCACATGAAGAGAGCCATAAGAAGGATTCTGCTAGATACTAAGCTCTCTGGTGGGGCCTAAGCCCCTTTCCAAAGGGAGACATCCAAACAGCCTGTCCTACTCTACATAAAGGTCCTGGAGCTTCCAGATCCCAAGTAAAGCATAGGGACAGCTGATTCATCCCCATTTACCATCTCCCACTGCCAAGCCTGTCTGAGCAAACTGGGCTGTTTCTTCCCCAGGCTCCTAATACAAGCGTCATGGGAATGTAGAAAAGTTCTGCAAATTGACTTACCGGGCCATTAAATGCAGCTTGGACTTTGTAGTAACTGAATTTCTGCTCATGAGGTTTTTACAAGCGTGTGCATATATTACGTGGAACACATGGAGCATGCGTATAGACGCCTACATTCTTCCTCAGTGTGCCCATTCCTCAGCAACATCCACGGGCACGATTATGGGGACACTCAAGTGGGCAGCAAGCAGCAGGCTCGGAAGTCAAAATCAGTGTTTCGAGCCATCTGGTAAAATGCCATGTACCCAGGATAAGAAGCCAGATTTATGCCAGGTGAGCAACTGAGAATCCCAAGGCACCCTTGTCACTGTTTCATGTGTTTATTTGCCAAGCTGCTGGAAATTAGCCCCAAAAGACATCAGGGGCAAAACCTTGATAGAGAAATAAACTCAATTTTCAGGTATTAAAAATCCCAATCAAGAAGCAGAAGGCAACATCCCTCATCATAAAAATCCATCTTTCCCTCCTGTGGTTCACAGTGGAACCACCAGGAACTGAACCCATGCAAGACAATAAGGTTCATCAAACGAAAGCAGCCTACCTGTACCATCAGCATAGGTACAAGCCATGCTGGAATGGGGAATCGGCACTTGCTCTGTCCATGCCAACCAGCTAAGAAGGACTAGGCTTTTTGTTGTTATCTTTTGGTAAAGGAATCAAATAGTTTATATGAAATAATTTAGCATCGATGATGCATAAATCTGTGGCAGTAGCAATGCCAAAACCATGATGTACCTCAGAGACAGTGACAGGAGTAATGGTCCCCTGAGGGTACAGTATGTGAGAAGGGGGAAAAGGGGAGTTGACAGCATTGATGATTGGATAACCCCACCCAATGGAATTGAACAACAGACCTGTACGTGAATGGATGTATATGGATGAGTTAGATAATGCCAATAAAAAATATTACAAAAAATAGAGTACCCTGCTTCTTTTGGCACTAAAAAAAAACCATATATAAATGTACGTAATAGCAATTTTTCTAAGCCCTGCCACCTGTAATGCACGTAGCCACACCTTTAAGACACTTTCTTGCCTTTTAGTAAAGCAGAGGAGCAGCCAAGAGGGAAGGAGTAACTCCCTACAGTAGATGGAAAGAGCAGCAACAGTAAAACAAGAGGGGCTCAAATATCAGCTTTATTTATTTCCTTTGATAAGTTAATAGTTGTATTAGTCTAGGTACTTTGGAGAAACAAATCCACAGCAACTCACGCATGAGAGAGTTTTATGCAAAGAAAATGTGCGTCACGAAAACATCCCAACCCAATGCTGCCCAAGCCC